TTATAACGCGATAATAAATACTATAGGTTAAAATTATAAAATCTACAACCTAACTTTCTAATTCTACTTTTACGCTATTAATATATTCACTTTATAGCGCTCTATAACCGCTAGTATAAAAGCTTTAGAAATTTAAAATTTTCGCTATAACTATAGTTTATAACTATAGAGCTAGTAGTTGCAACTAGTGCGCTGTAGCTATAGCTAGTACACTATAGCCGTAGCTAGTACTATAGCTTAGCTATAAAAACGCTAACTACTAACCGCGCTATACTAACTACGCGCGCGTATCTTAGGTTTCTAGTTTAACTTCTAGTAAGACTATACTTTTTCTTTTTAGCTATAAGGTAAATATAAACTCTTAGAGGTATTCTGTAGCCTATAAAGGCTTAATAGAGTCAAAGAAGGCTTAATAGAGTGAAAAAAGACTTAATAATATAGAAAAAGACTTAATAATATAGATAGAAATATAACAGAGTAGATAAATACTTATATAGCTAGAGAAACTTTAAAAAGCTTTTCAGTATAATAGAAAATCTAGAATCTATATAATATATAAGATTTTATCTCTATAGATAGCTAGAATATAAATATTTAAACTTATAAAACTAAATATATTATATAGTCTATAAACTCTAAGTAGCTATATACTAATTAGTTATAGAAGTCTTAATATAACTATAGTAAAACTAGATAATATAATTATAAATATATTTTATATAGTTTAAAGTATTACACTAGAGGCTATACTAATAGAAAAGTTAAATATATAGATAAGAATAATCTTACTTATAGTAAAAAGAAACTTAATAAGCTTAAGGTTCTATAGTTTATCTTAAAGCTTAAAAGATAAGTAGAGAAAATTATATATATATCTATAAATTCAAGAGAAATAATAAAGAAAAGTATAATAGTATAGAAAGACTTAATACTAGAATCTACTTACTTAAATAGTATATAAGATAGTATATAAGATAGTATATGGAACTTAGAGAATTATTAAGCTTAATAGAAAGAAAGTAAATTAAGAACTAAATTAAGAACTAAATTAGAAACTAAGATAAAGAACTAAGATAAAGAACTAAGATAAAGACTAAGTTAATTATAAGCTAAGCTAGAAACTAAGTTAGAAAATTAACTAGAAACGAATTTAAAAAGTCTAACTAGACTGTAACTTAAGTAGTATATTAAATAACAATCTAAATAATAATCTAAGTAATAATCTAAGTAGTAGACTAAGTAGAATACTATATAGGAGACTAAGTAGAATACTAAATAGTAGACTAAGTAGAATACTAAATAGTAAGCTAAATAGTAAGCTAAATAGTAAGCTAAGTAGTAAACTATAGAATAGACTAAGTAGTAAGCTAAATAGTAGACTAAATAGTAAGCTAAGTAGTAAAGTAAGTAGTAAAGTAAATAGTAAAGTAAGTAGTAAAGTAAATAGTAGTATAAGTAATAGAGTAAGTAGTAGAGTAAGTAGTAAAGCAAATAGTAAACTAAGTTAAAAGCTAAGAAATAAGCTAAGAAATAAACTAAAAGATATATTTAGAGATAAACTAAAAAGCAAATTAAGAAATATACTAAGAAAAATACTAAAACCTAACTTGAAAATAAAGAATAAGAAAATAAAAATAAATAATAAGAAAATAAAGATAAATAAGAATAAAAATAAAAATAAAGAATAGCTTTCATAGATTCTAGAAAGAGAGCGAGGGGGGTTTAAGGGAGAGAACACCCTATATTTAAAAAGAGAAAATAGGGGGTTTAAGAGGGAGAATCCCCCTTAGAAAGTAAAATGTCTATTTTTAACTTAAGTAAAAAAATTTAATATTACTAAGCTAACTAGAATTTAAGATAGATAGTATACTATAAACTTAACTATAAGCTAAACTAAAAGTAAACTAACAACTATACTCTAAGCTAAACTAAAAACTAAGCTAAATAGTAAATTATATATAAGCTAAACTAGAGATAAAGCTAAGATACTACTAAGAAAGTACTCTAGAAGTTTAATTAAATTAAATACTAGAAAGTAGACTTAGAAATTAATTTAAAAATAAACTAAAAGATTAATTGATAAACTAAAAGATAAACTAAGAGATAGTCTAAAGAAATAAACTAAAAAATAGACTAAAAGATAAACTAAGAGATAAACTAAGAAATAAACTAAGAAATAGATTAAACTAAAGTATAAAATAGAAATTAAATTAAAAATTAAATTAAAAAACTAAATACTAAATTAAAAACAGTTATTTCTTATATATAGAATAAAGAGTACTAAAGGGGGTTTAAGATAGAGAATATCTCTTATATTTAAGAAAAGAAATATATAAAGATATATAAAGAAAATATACTCTTAAAGACTTAAATATACTAAACTCTCTTTACTAATACTCTAAATTATTTTAGTATAAAATAGGTACACCTAGTAGTATTTATTATAGTACTATAAGTATTTCTACTATATAGATTTTAGAGGTAGTTATAGTTTTCGCCAAGGTAATATATAGTAGAAAACTCTTTTTTATTAAGTATATTAATAACTGCAATTATCTAGTTATTATTAGTATTTTTAGAATATTAGAAGCTAGAAGTTAGAACTCTACTAAGATAATATATCTTATTATATTTTATAGATATTAAGTAATACTAAAGTCTTCTAAGAATAGCTATCCCTAGCGCTCTATATAGAATACTATTTATAAGAGTAATAGAGCACTACGAATATATTCTTAATAAGCTTAATTAGTTAGATTAGCTAGCTTCTAGATAATGCCTTAACAAGAGACTAGAAGCCTAATATCAATCGTAGCTAACTCAGCTCCGCTAGTAGCTGCAAGGGCCACCAGATGTTGATAGTGGGGGAGAGCTAGTGAGGATTGCGTGCTGAGCGGAGGTATCAGCGTGAGGATTTGAAGCTTTAGGTGGACTCGCGCCGTTGGAAACGATCGCTATCATTGTCGCACAGTGCTGGTGGAACGGCACGTAGCTGCGCGCAGACTTCGAGATATCCACCTCGGCGGCTGTCGTACCATCCCTCCCACTTGCCGTCGTTGAAGCTGCCGTTTGTTTAAACTTCTAGGTTTTACCATCTGGATGTCAGGAACGTACCAAGCTTTCTTTGAAAGGATCGGTCTGGTCACTTCGCGATACGGAAGGTCCTCCGATAGCTATCCCACTGTTACCGAAAGCCTCGAGGTACAGCCGAGTTAGCCGCTTGGACCCGTGTTTTGCTAGTGCATCTCAACTCTGTCGACCACCCAGAGATTTGATGCTGGAACCCAGTATTGCCTTGATTCAAGATGAAGCGCAGCAGAGGCCGTAACTCGACAAGTACGGCTACAGTGATGCAGCTCCGGCGCTTGAAGCTCTCCAATCTCTCTTCTGAAGGCCTGCTCTCCGGAATTGAATAGTCGAGGCTGCTTTACTCATGGAGTGATACGATAGCACCCTGGAGGACGAGGTTTCAGGGTTTCAGGGTCTTTGTGGTCCGTGCTGGGACACATTTCTCATGTGACTATTCAGAGACTCTCATACGAATGGGTTACTTAGCCGAGATAGATAAATGTGTCTTACTATTTGACAAGGACAGTTGCCTCAGTCTCGATGCCCTCTTCCTGCCTTCCTCAGAGGCATCTGCGTATTCGGACGGGTTTTGAGAACGGAGAGTCCGGAAAAGCATTGCTCCAAGAAGCATCCTCCCATCATCCAGAAGTCAAGTCAAGCACCAGTCGGCTGCTGGCCTCGGCGGTGTGATCGACCAGACTGACCATCTTCATTGATTGAGCATGGACTAGCGCACCCAGCCCGCAGCACGCCATCGAGTACTTGTCCGGAGCGAAACGGTGCATCTCGCTTGCGTCAACGAGCGTCTTCACGATCCTTATTTCATAGAAAGAAAGCGTGTCCAGGGCGTATGCATGGTTCGATGTGCCGCCGGTTGCCTTCATTCGGTGAACTGAGGCGCTTGTACTCGTCGCCTGAAGACAGCCTGAGCCTTGAACTTGTAGAGTGCCTCCGTGACGTGCAAGCGTCCGGCGGAGTGGGCGTCAAAGGAATAAACATTTCGCGCCTTGCCTGCAGGGCCGTGAGCTGGTGATTGGCCGACAGTCGCCGGCGAGATATTGTCACGCAGCCAGCCCTCCTCCAAAGACGCCCTCGCTTTCCGACAACCTTCGGTGTGATCTTGAGCCTGTAAGGTAATCTCCCCACACGCTGCGTGTGATCAGTGGACTGTGGAGAGGCCCCGTAATCAAAGAGTTCGAAGTTGCTGTTCGCAGAGGGACTCGGAGCCCCTCCAGGGCGCAGATCTCGAGATCCACTTCGCGCGAGCGCCAGACGGCAGCTTTGATTGCAGAGTAATTTCTTCGTCTTCTTCAACAAACACCCAAGAAACCCTTTCGTCGCCGTTCCGCTCTGGTCACCAGCCGGTAGCCCTTTGCTGGATTTGCCGCCTCTGCATTCCACCTCCGCGAAGCTCACTCCGCCCGCGAGCTATCTATGGTCTGCACGCCGGAAAGCTAAGACAATCGTCTGCAGCTCCACCACACACATCCGCCATTGGTTATCAGATCCAGCGCAGTCGACGCTGTACCCTTGGCTTTGACGATACTTCTATCGGAGCTTCGAAGGCCCACTTCACATGCAAGGTGCAGACTACCTCTGGGCCTCCGCAGAATCACTTAGCTGCCATCCTGGCCGGCAATCTGTCCGCCGCAAAGCCTCACGTCAGCAGAAATACTCTGGACTTGCACGAAGCGGTGCTTCGAGTGCTGTATATGCCGTCAATCACCGTGTGTGTGTGATTACAGACATGGCTAACTTTGAGCAGTGTGCCCTGGCGGCAGCCCCGGGTGTCTCAGAAGCCTACGTACACGCCCTCCACCGGCACAGTCTCCTGACACCCCACCCCACCTCTACGCACTCCTTCTAGAATACAGCCACAATCGGCGAGAACATATGTGTGATATACACGCTTGTGCCGCACGAAGAGAAATATGGACACCGAAGATGGATCAGTATTCATAAAGGTACGTCCATCGTTGAAAGCATGCATAGTCCGACAAAGTGGATACATCTAAGTCGATGGAGAAGGGACACACCATACTGACGCGCTGCATCTGCTCAGAACCTCGCGTATTTTGTTCGAACCCACGAGAAGGCTTTAGCCAATGCATTACAACTCCAGCGTCAAGCTCCCCGAAATGCGTCCAGCCCACCTAGTGGAAGCACAACTGCGGCTACCACCACCACCTCCTCCTCCGCGTCAGCTACATTCGCCGCCGCGCTCTCGCTACCCTATCTCAGCTTCACATCTCAGAACATCAAACCCGTAAAACTCACCCTTACGCCCCACCACCTCTTCTTTCTGCTGTCTCGCTTCGAAGAGCTAGGCATACCAGTTGGTCCGATGAACGTGCGGCTGGAGAATATTCACACCGACGCGTCGCCGACCAACTATGTGTCATTCCTTAGCCAGGCGCAGAGGAAGAAGAGCCGGAATTCAGACCGTGATTCTACACACTCGGTGTCCAGTATACGAAGCATGATGTCTGGCATGACATCACTGTGGTCAAGCTTCGGACTGACTAATTCCGCTGCTAAATCCGAGAAGCAGAAGGCCGCGATACAAGAGGATTTGAAATATCTCTACAGCGCCATAACCAAGATACCTTGCCTTAGGCTCGCTCCAGATCACAAAGCACGCCTTATCGCAGGTTATGAGGAATTCCCGTTTGACTCGGCTGTTCCTCTGTTCGCTTTCAAAAACTTGAGCGCACTTGAGGTATATGATGTAGACTTCCGCCAATTCTATGGCTGGGATCGTCTGGCCGATCAGCTACGGAGTCTAACCCTCAAGCGTGCAGGCGTTGATGACCCAGCAGATGTTCTGATCAACATAGTCCTAGACGATATGGACAAGCGGCGACGACGGTCGGCCAAAGTCCCACCATCTCCTGCGCAACCCTGGCCCGCTCCTAGTCCATCTCTCAAGCAAGCTGAGCTGGCGCGGTCCGACTCGGGACCGGATTCTCCTTCATCAGACAAACCCGGATCAGCGAGCAGTCCACAAAGTTTAGCCTTGGGGAGGGGAAGCTCAGGAGGTTCCAAGAGCACAGTTCGCACAAGGCAGCGTAGCGTGTCACCACCACGACCTGGTACCGCTAGACATGGCTCATCACATGGTCTTGCAAGAAACAGCACACCACAACTCAGACGCTCGTCTGGCAGCTCAGGCTCGAGCATCCGATCGAATACTCCGCGTGGCTCCTCATCAAACCTCCTCTCCCTTGGCGCCATCTCCTCTTCCAAATGGAGATTCCTTAGACATCTGAGTCTTGCCGATAACTCCATGACCACAATAGCAGCATCGAGTCTTGCTCCCCTTACGAACACCCTTCAGTCGCTTGATTTGTCCTCAAACCTCTTCACCGAAACACCGGACAGTCTTGCTAGCCTTGTTGCCCTTCGAGCATTGAACCTCTCCTGTTGCATGATTGAGTCATTGCATTCGCTAGCTCGAAATCCCTTACCGGCTATTACCACGCTGAACCTGCGGGGGAATCGGCTAGCTTCCCTTGCTGGGATCGAGCGACTGTTATCCTTGGAGCGTCTTGATCTCCGAGACAACAAGCTCACGGACCCAACGGAGCTAGCACGCTTGACTGGTATACCCAACATGCAGGAGATCTTTGTTAGCCGGAATCCGTTCGTCAAGACTCACAGCAACTACCGTATTACAATCTTCAATCTGTTCCGAGCCGCACCGGGGTGTTCTGAGGACATCATAATCGATTCAACTGGTCCAGGTTACAGTGAGCGGAAACAACTCACTGACCGAGTCCCTGAGTTAGCCAGCGTCCCAGTCGTGAAGCCTCCAGTCGAGGAGGATGACGTCACAGTGCCGGTATCGGAATCCTCTGGTCTTCGCACACCCACCGAGAGCCCGGCGCCAGTCGACGATCCTAGGAAGCAGTTATCGTCCTATCGTTCCAGGAGCGAGTACGCAGTCAGTTCGCAACGGCGACGCAAGGGTCCAAAGCGGAGAATTGTCGAGCTATCACAGAGCGAAGCTCCCCCTCATATACTGTCCGAATCTACAGTCACTCCGCCTTCACAACCCGTCGAATCCGCATCTGAAGATAGCACGTACGGGGGCAGTCCTGTTGCCACACCGACTCGTAAGCCAGGCGCGCCCCTGAATACAGACCCTCAGGCGCGTGAACAGTCTGGTCTGTCGATGATAGACACGATTGTCAAGTCTCCGTCGCTTGGTGCACTGCCAAAGAGGCCGTCTCTTGTATCACCAGAATACAGCTCGAATGGCGATTTGTATAAGAAGAAGATCGAGGCACTTCGGAATGACTTTGGCAATGGTTGGCTAAGCGCACTGGGCGACGGAAGCTGGGACAATTCTCAGCGGACCAACAGCTACAGCGACGGGGCATTCACTCCTCCAGGAGCGCTCCGGCCGACTGTGCCTTCAGTGAGGTCGCCCAGCCAGGGTATCGTCTCTGGCGGACGAACGCTGGGCTAACGTGCTCATACCTTTACCTTATGTTCGAAGTCACATATCTATGTCAGACTTTCACTCCACGAATTTATGACCTGCACCATCATTATCCACTTCTCTAGCGATGAGCGTTCTGCACTCGGTGTAGCATGTCCTGCAAGGCGTTCCGGTTCTCACTTGTTCATAGGGGATAGTTTGGTTTTTGTCTTCTACTCATTCTCCCTACATTACAGCGGCTCACCTTTGCATTTGCTGTTGTCGACAAAGTCTAGCACTGTAGCATGGCGGTTTCAAAGCTCGTTTCGTGTACCATAGTAGGGTGGGGTTCCAGGGATGAGTTGTTGTCTAGGTTGAACGTGGGAGCTGCAAATGGCACGGTGTCGAATATTTAACGGCGTGGAAGTAGGGCACACAAGCCTTGCCTCTCTTTCCGCTCCCGTAGTGCGGGTAATCCAGATAGTATCCTAGCTGCTCAGTGATGTTGTAAGTCCCTCAGCTTGGGTGTCACCTAGATTGACCTTAAACCCTGGAGCCATAACGTTATTTTCTTAATTACTAGGTTAGAATGGGGTAGAAGTATCCATAGTAATTAGCCTTAAATGGTTAGCGGCCTTCTAAAGCACCAGGTGCCGTCCACGATCTAAACGGACGATCTCAAGACGGACGACATCTACACGATTTCAGTCGGGCGATGCCGAACACTAGTTTTGGGTTTGGTTTGAACTGGTGCATCGATCACATAAATTGCCGTTGATGCTGTGATCACCACGTGGTTCCAACATCTTGTTGTTGACAGCTCTTAGAAGACTCCTGTACAATCTTAGGGGCAATGCCAAGCATCACGTGAGCCGCAAGTGTTTCATAGACATGAGCGACTTGCCTTTGCTCTAGCCACGAATGGCTTTCGTGTTGATCTGACATGTCATATGCAAAGTGATGATGAACATCTCTTTCGCGAGTCTTGACGCGTCTCATATTATAATATGCCGCTCACCCATACACGCCATGACAACATCTGGTCTATCCGGATTGCATCTCTCCGGAACGCTCAATTGGCTTATTAATGCTTTTTGGGCTCATGAGGAGTGGTCCTGCGCGATAGTCCGAGGCACTCTGCCATACCTATAGGCCCGTTAGTATTTTATTTTCATTAGAAGGCGTAGATACTGACCATAGAACACATCAATGTTATTGTACACGCCTCCAAACAGCTCCTGGCAAGGCCCCATGGCAAAAACCTGATACATGATTAGCTGATGCGATTCTCGATGTGTGAGGGAAGTGGTAACTTACGGGAACGTCTGTCAAGCTGTGGACACCCTGGGCTTGATCTACCGGAAGGGTCCCCTATCAAACAGTCAGCTCATAACCACAGTTTCGAACTGTCCATGCCGAGAACATACGTTGACAAGTATTCCTGGAGGGTTATCATCTTCCGGGTTTGCATAGAAATCTTGCCGCGCCGTGATGTTCACCGCCGGTTCTCTAACGCCCTCCTGCTTGACTTGGTACTGCAAGAGCGTTAGTGATTAGACACCTAGTGCCAGAGAAAGCAAGTACGCACGTTTTCGATCCTGTCGGGGTTTGCGGTCACGCCCTCGTACAACGAATAACGTGGTTCCCACGTTGCAGGAAAGTGGCTTATTGGATCGTCAGCAGATGGCTCAGCCTCGACGATTTTGTAAGGAAAGGGACACATACACGCCCTCGGAGTAAGTAAGGTTACCAATGACATATTGGGACTGGCCGGAGTTTTGATACACGCCGATGGCATTGCGTTTCTCACGGTCTGTATCCTGTGCGTTGAGGTATTGGGTGTCGACGGAGCCCATGACATCAAAGCCGTGACCGTGATCAGCAGTCACGAGGATGAGCGTGTCATTAAGGGTGCCCAGCTCCTTCAGCCTCTCGACGGTGGCTTTGATGGTGTCGTCGAGCTCGAGCAGCTCGCCAAGCGCGCGGTCGTAGTCGAGGGCGTGCATCATCTTGTCGATCGAGGCCGCTTCGGACATAAGGAAGAAGCCCTTGCCCTCGCTGCGTGTCTCCAGGATGTCAATGGCTTTTAGGGTCATTTCTTTGAGACCGGGCTGATCAAGGGCGTCTCCTCTGGAGCCGTCAGGGCTGTTGCTCTGATTGCGCAGGTTATCAGTATAAACATTCCGGTCTAGCCACTTGGCCATATTCGAGGTGGAGAATATGCCGAGAGTCCTGGTGTCGTTGGCAGTGTCGAGGAGCGAGGTCTTGTTGAGCACAATGTTGTAACCCGCATTCGCAAACTCCTCGTAGTAATCTCGGCCCATGTACGTCCTGCCGCCCCGGTAGAACTGCTCTGCTCCACCGCCGAAGAGAACGTCTGGGCCATTCCAGTCTGTCCAGCTGTAGTTGGTTATGCCGTTCAGGAAAGAATCAACAACCGCTGGGTACTGATTTCGATCCCTGGTATGGGCGGTCAGTGCGGCAGGCGTTGCATCAGCGATGAGGGCTGTGCTGACGATCCCGATGTTGCCGTTATAGAGGCGGTAGAAGATTTCAGCAATCGACTCAACCTTCGGATCATCGAACGGACTTCTGCTGGAATCGGCATAGACACCTAGGAGGAGTGTGTCAGCGAAGCTAGTCACGTGGTAGGCCTGGAGAAATAGCAAGATACCTAGGCAGTTGACCATGGACTTATGGCCAGTATAGAGCGACATCGCGGAATTTGCAGAGTCGGTCATGAATGTGTCAAGAGAGTGGGTCATCTGATGGCCAAGGACAGGGAATTGATCCATCATCTGCGAATGTCTCTTAGCCGGTTGCAACTGTACCACCGTTATCGTACGTACCATCCTCGTCTTATATTTGCCATTGACGCTCCTATGAGCTATAAGGCGGGCAGCCTGTTCAGAGCATCAGTTGAATGTCTTCACACCATGTGAAGCAACTACAAACGCACGGTAATCATGTTGGTCGTCATTCCGTCACCAATGAAAAGGATAATGTTCTTCGTCTTGCGCTCTTCCGCGATGTCTCGAACCGTCCACGTAGCAATAGTCTTGGACCCGTTGTTGTAGTTCAGCGTTGCGGTATATTCGCCGGCTTCATAAATTTAGCTAGAGTTTCGCCTTTCACATCTGGAAGAGCCTTTCTTACGTTCGTATAGAGCAACTCTGCGGTACGCTTTCGCGGTGACATTGACTAATGACGGCCTTCGGGCATCTCGCGCAAAGAGATCTGTATGTGGTCAGTGTTTGGCCCGTATTGCAACGTCTGCGAGGAAGCTCCATGCGAACGGTAGGCCAGGCGCATAGTAAGACCTTGTGCACGATCTTTGCGAAAGCCCTTTGACCGATCTGGAAGAAGCTCGACGCTTACCTTCAAACCACGTGAAGTTCCACCGCTCGAGCCTCGGCTCCTCGAGTCCGAAATACTGCGCAGCGCTCTGTGCACTTGAGTTCGCTCTTGCGATAGTAAACTCAAAGTTCGGGTCTGGCTGCCTTCCAGTGGCCTCAGAGCCATTGACGGGCGCGTGAACTTCGAGGCGGATATCGAAGTATTGTCCAGCTAGGAAATCGGCCCTTCGTTCTTATCAGCAAACTTGAACGTTGTTTTCCTGGGGGGGATGGTCTCACTGGTCTGGTGGGAAAATGCAGCCCAGGGTTGGGCAGCCTCCAAGACGCTGAAATGTCTGCGCTGATACGTTGAGTGCGAGGGCTGCTGCCGCCGCCGCAACGATTGCGCTTCGACGACCAAACAACATATCTCTTGCTGGGAAAAGGTCTTCGCAAGTCCTCCGCGAAAGTCGGGTGCGGGTCAAAGGCTTTTTGAAGCTTCCGAGCTCACCACCTCTTAAGCTAAGTTGTGCCACTACCGTAGCTTTGCAGCAACAGACCGCCTGCAGCTAACTATCGGCCTTCCTCAAAAAGACGTTCCCATCCAGGCACAAATGCCAGGATGCACCGCAGGGCCCGCCACATACGTGGAAAAGCGGCACCCATACCGCCACAGCGGCTTGATATCGAGCTCGTGGGGTCCTGGCAAGCTGCTACTGCTCCGAATCCTCAGTGGTCCGCTTGATCCCAAGTGTCGGTCACGCTGCAAGCCTGGAATCGCTTCACGAACATCGTTCCGGACGGCCGTCATCGACATGCGCTACTGGGAACGGCTTTGGTGTTGGTGCGGTGACCCCACGGAGTAAATACTGCAGGTGGATACAACGCCAGAAAAGCGTGCGGAGATAGGAACAGCTGATTCGCTGACATCAGCAGCAGCTCCCGTTTCTTGGCTAAAATACTGCATTTCAGGACCGAGGCATCCTGGAAGCGATCTGAATGCAACGCAGGTGTGGGTTGGGTTGGAGGAGCCGCTTCTTGCTGATCTGGTCAGGAAAGATGAAAATCAATGATCTCGGCTGCGTCGGTGCCGAGCTTTCTGGGAGTCGGGTTTACAGTGATATTCTCGCACGTGCGGAAATGGTTCGTATGCAAGCGGGGAGTTCTCATGGGATGTCATTTGCGATTGTCAAATTCTGATGTCCGATTTCTTGTGTATATGTTGTTCTCGCGTGATGCTCGCTCTGTTCGACCGTTCTCTGCCCACTGACCGAGCCACGTGCGAGCATCACTTTTTCGACCCCGCCTCGAACATTGTTCGCACGAGTCATGCGCCATGCGACAACGATGACATTTTGTGCAGCCTTAACTACGCTTTCTGAGATTGCCGGACGTGCCGGAATGTCCGTATCTCTTGTGAAGAGCTGCGATACTGGCTCTATCCTCAGAGACTTCTCGAAATATTAAATACAGTGATACCGTTGTCGTGAAGTAAAGCCCGAGCGCGGCACATGCACTGGGTTTGCGAGATGGGTACGGCCCATTACGAGCGGGTCATTCATTGCTCTTGTGCAGACGAAAAAGAGACAACCGCGATCTGAATTAGATAGAATGTAGCGTATGCAGATGGCTGGCAGTCTCAATGTAAAGTTATCTAGTCGCAGAGAGATATAGCAGTATCGCATGAGCCGCAGATTCCAAGAGGCTGTGAGTTTCGCTGCAACCCGGGACTTCGCCGCTCAATGAAGTCCGCTTGCCTTGAAAAACTTCCCAAATTACCATTAAGAGTTCCATACTAGATGACAAGGGTTTTTTCAGAAGGGAAAATGTTAGGCAGCCAAATACAGTAGGCATGAACGTTTCAGTTATATCGCTTCACCGAAACCAGATTGCGAGTTTAAACTATTCTTGAATATGATTACGGTGAATGTATATATATTTCGCTGCAGCAGTAAATCAGCCTACAGCCGTTGTCTTCGCTGCCAAAGACTGATAACATGATGTGAATGGTGTGTTCCTGGATCCACAGCCCGCAAAGTAAGCCAAGTGACTGACTGAACCTCGAGGGTCCCTCTATCTCGGATGACCTTCCCAGGCGACGTATTGAGATATGGCCCTTTCTGCTTTCCGGAACTGTGAGGAAGCTACGCAGGCATAGTAACGCATTGCTTGCGCGGCCAAAGAGGGCTATTGTACTGTAAAGTAGCCCTAGGAGGTCTACGGCCTAGCGATGGTTCTACTGGCTGTCATAGTAACAGCGGGAGTTAAATGGCAAGTTGCGCCTGCCCTTAGATAGATGAACATAGAAGGCGTAGGAGAGCAAAGCCTTCGGAGCATCGGCAAGAAGGTAAACAAGAAGAGTGGCTAGCTGTTCTCAGTCTTGATAGAAGGTAATCTTACTCTACAGAGGGTTTGTTGGATGAGATAACACGCGTACCACGAAGGGAACTTAAAGATTACCTTCCGCTGCTTTTATTAAGCGCTTTGTCAACCGCTGACTCTGCCCCTTCGAAAGAAAACAGTGGTTGATGTACGCGAGTCGCTGTTCTTCAGCTGGTTATGCCTTTAGCTGTGGCATCTTGAGTGGCACGAAGCCTGCCACACCACGACCCCGCTTTCATGCTTGTCCGCCAGCAGTCACGGCATTGTCGGTGTCTGATCAGCAACGATGGGCTGTACCTGATGCCAGCGAAGCTCCCTGGCTCCAACCAAGCTTGCGCTGTCGGCCCAGGAGATCAAGTCCGCTGCAGGGCACCGAGACCGCCCGCAGATCGCGCGGCCCGCACTGAGCTATTGTAGGCGGCTGGAACGCTGATGGATTAGCATCGCCGAGGATCTGGGGCCAAGTAGATGGAAGCAGAGAAGTCTTTGCTGGCTGGCAGGAGCAGACGTAGATATATGCTGGGAGGTTGAGGGTCGTGCAATTCACGTGGTCCTGTGGTCCTGATATGTAGAGTACAGTTCGGTTGGGCGCCGGATGCGGGCACGAGGAGCGTCGAGGGGTGCCGTGCATGAGCTGGGGACAGGAAACCTGGAAGGGGCCGCGGGGAAGCGCAAGCTTCATGTCATCGCCCAACCTGCAGATGAAGCTGTAGACCACCATACGTACATCTCAGTACTACTCCGCTTGCTCAACAACTGCTCCGATCTCCCAACAACAGTAACAATACGAGCAGACTCTCGTGACATCGCACACCACCGTATCTTGCTAGTCGGTTGCTGTATAGCTGGCCTATCTCTCCCGACTTCCCCGCCTCGAGCCCTTGCCTGGCAGCTCACCCATATTGATTACCGTCGCGGGATCCATCGGTCTCCCCCTAATACAGACTGCGCTGCCTCTGGAGGTACTTGCGCCTGTTCGAACGAGCTTTCGCTATTGGCACGCGCTAAAGCGACACGCGGCCGTATTATCGGCTTTGTGACGCATCTCTCGTTGTCTTAGGGGCCAGATCATCAGGTACTCAACTTACCGGACTTCCTTCGAGAGCCTTTGTACAGCCTCTTCAATACTTACAAACAACATCTATATTCCGCCGACCGCGCACCGAAGCCTTCAAACAGCTTGGAAGCCCGCTGGATGCCCTCGTTCCCTGAAGACACGCCTGATCACACGACCACGCAGCAACACGTTGGATACCCCTATCACCACGAGCGGCATCGCTCGACAGGCTCGGCAAAGGTGCAAGCGCGCAGACGGAACGACCCGAGATATGAGCTGGGAAGAAGAGACAAGTATGGAGAGAGAGTTACGAGAATATATCCTCGAGAGCTGTAAGTCGTCACCTCTACTGGGCCAGTGCAAGTGCAAAGGCTGGACGCCGCATATATATAAGCGTCGCTAGGAAATTCCTCTCGTGCTGCAGAGAGAAAGGCAGCGCAGATTGTACTTCAAATACAGCGCTTGCTACGTCTACCGTTACTGTTGTTTGGCGTTTCTGCTCTGCGTCCTGACTGCGTGCTCAAACAAGCGTTGGCAGGTTGAGTTGTTTCGTCAAACGGGAAGACGTGTGCTAACATGACGTTTGCAGGACGAAGTCTTCGCCGACTGCTCTTCGGTACCCACCGTCACCTTCTCATCCTTCAGCTCACCCACATCATGCCACCACCTCACCTTTGTCATCCCCTCTAGGCTCTAATAAGAACACTGCCGCACAGTACACTAGCGATTGGGCCAGATCCTTGCCTTTCTTTGCAGGTCAACAGCCTCCCATCAGTGGAATAAGCGTGAGCGGCTCTCCTCCTACCTACTTCCCACCGCGCAGCAACCCAGCAATATCGCAGTCACCACCGCCGAACGGGGCTCGACCACTGAGCCAACCTAGCCCGTACTCCCATCTCGGCGGTCATATGCAGCACTCTCCACACCAGTCCCCGCCAGGAGGCCGAGATCGACGCGCTTCGATGTTTTCACAAACCAACAACCGCACAGCGATGCCTAATCAACACCCGCTTCCACACCAACCGCAGCCGCATTTCTACGGAGCACCTGAGATCGACTTTGGCCTTCCCAGCGCGCTCCGTGAAGGCCTTGTGCCGGGCGGGAAGTCATATGCATGCATGTGGGATTCGCTGGGCAAAGCGAACTGTGGATCAGCTCAGAAAGCACAGAACGTACTCCTGGTTGGATCAGAGGGGGGATTCGAGGTCTACAAGGTTGGCCGTGGTTCGATTGACGTGATTGGTAGCCTCGACGACTTGCATGGAAGTGTCATCCGAGCGAAGATCCTTCCCTGGCTTCGTCGCGAGGATCCTCTTGCCTCGCTGCGTCCACTTGTGGCTCTAGTCATCCATGGTCCAGTAGTCGAAGACCCGAAGGCTGCGCCGAATTTGAGCAGCTCTTCCTCTGCTGTTACGGACGACAATGGGAGTTCTTCGAGTCCACCGACAAGGCCCGCTTCGAACCATAGTGAGGCTGTCCCGGCTCGCATAACCCATTACCAGACTCGAGTTGAGGTCTACTCCCTGAAAGAGCACAAGCACGTTGCAACTCTGTACAAGAGCCAACCGATTCCTCTGGCAACGCCGATTGACAACCGCGCCTTCGAACCGCCACCACCAGCCGATCAGCTCACCGTGGATGCTAACGGCGACTTCATGGTTGTGGCTTCCGGCAACAGCGGCGAGCTTTTCGTCTTTGCACTTTCTGAAAAGGTGGACCCGGAACATCCAGAGCAGTTCCGATGTATAGGAAAAACTTGGACTACGGTGCAGGTCCGGGAGCACGCTTCAGTGTCTAGTGCTTCCAGTTCGACAGATATCAATAGCCACGAAGGAGACGTCAGTGGCCAGCATCGCATCCCTCTCTTTTCGCTCAGCCAGCGCTGGCTTGCGACCGTGCCTCCGGCCACATCCTCGATCCAATCCTCGAACGGCACGGCGTTGGTGTCTAAAAAGTATCCCAGACCTCTGGGTATAACTTCTCACGCTGCGCCTCCTCAGCCGGCCCCGAACTGCATTGTCGACGCGCCAGATCCTCCCCCTCTCCTCCAGCGTGCGGTTAAAGAAGGTACCCAGCAGCTGTTGAAAGGTGCGCGCTGGGCGACCGCCCAGGGTAAGCAAGCCTGGACGAAATACTGGGCTCCATCACCTACGCCTAGCGGCCAGATCGGAGGTTCGAACGGTTATGCCGCAGGTTATGCAGCCGGCCAGCAGGCTGCCCAGTTTCCACCGACACACGGTCATTGGTCTCTTCCGGTGCTTAGCGACGATCCGCCTCTTGTATCAATTTTGGATCTGCGCAAACTCCACGAGGCACCGTTGAAGAAAGATCGGCATGGCCTGACTCCTAAGGCGACATTCGCTTCTGCGCTAGGGTGCAGCTTTTTGTCTTTTGCGCCGAATGGGTTAATGCTATTCATGGCCAGCAAGAAGGGTGATCATCAATTCGTGTACGAGTTGAAGCCGGCAATGCATTCGAGGCCCATCCGTCTCGTCAAGGGATCACCGCCTGGAGCGTATGTGAGGGAGGCTACTCGCTTTGAGCGTGTCACTGTCGCGAATGTGGTTGATGTTGTGTGGTCGGAGCCAGAGGGCCTTTGTTTGGCAGTTTTGACCGACAAAGGAACCGTTCATGTCCACGAGCTTTTGACCTCCGCTTTCAACTGGCCTCCGCCAAGACGTCCTCGACCAGTCAAAGCAGCGCCTAAGGCGGATCCGAATAACGATGGCGAAGATCAGACCCAGCGTAAGAACTGGGGTGGTATCGGCTCTGCCATGCAAGCAATCAACGAGGGTGCACGCACTGTCTCTACTGCCGTTCGGACTGGTAGCGCAAGTGGTGGGCCCGGCTTGCCTGCTGCTGGTCTTCGCATGACTTCGGCCGCTGGGGCGAAAGGAGCAAAGGCAGTTGCGGCTGGAATCACCAAGTCTTTGGGTGCAGCGTCGAAAGGTGTAAAGTCTCTTCGCCATGCTGGCAACAACAAGCTGCATCTGCCGTCGCTTGTGAACGGGGTCTTGCCGGGTAGTGTGCGTTGGATGACTGGGAACCATCGCGGTCACGTCGGGCTCGTTGCTGGAGGAGATCTCGTGATCTACGCCGTAAGTCACAAGATTTTCGTCCGAGCTACCAGCAACGGCATCAACAAGGCCAGCACCACCAAAGTCAAACGCTACCGCGGCCTCCTCTCAGAGCGTCAAGTCACCAGTTACACGCTCCCAAAAATCAAGGACTCGCTCCTGCCACCCGCAATCGCCACGATGTTGGACCGCAAGGACAACGAGGCCGCCAACATCCCACCTAAGGTTGACGGTCACTTCACTCTCAAGAAGCCGGCTGTTTCCAAGGGCAAGCAGCCCATCAAGCGCCGCACTCACCCTCTGGCACAAGCCGAGCTCGAGACTTGCGCCCCTTTCGAGCCTTTCCACCTCGATAGACGCGTCAAACTCTTCACATACGACACCAGCGGCATGGTCAACGAAAATGGCGAGCCGCAAACCCAGGAGCAAATCATCAAGTCCTTCCATCACGTGAATGACGACTCCCCCTGGTGCTTCGGAGGAGACATCCCTACCGCCAAAGTCACTCTCACAGCCTGCCACCCGTCGAAATCCGTCACGGGTGCTCACTTTGAAGGGGAAGAGTCGCTTAACGCGGCGGTAGACTGCCTCACGCTTGGAGGAGGAGGAGACGGCGAGGACATGGAGGTGGTCATCACGACGCGTCATCGGCGCCCGAGGGGTGGGCAGGAGGGCGACGATGGGTTTTTCGAGGACGACTGCGAGGTCTTGGACCTTGCGGAGGATAGGGTGTAGGGGGCTTTGGAATGGGGGAGGCGGGCTCTAGGTGTTGGTATGGGGTTCATGCGTAGGCGCGGCTGGTGTGGGATGGGCAGGGTATACCACTCCCTGGGGTTGGGATAGGGGCTTTTTTGGTGGAGTTTCTGGGTTTTGCATATGGGCATGAGGATGACATCTGGTGGAGGTGGGAGAGAGTTTGTACCTCAATCAACTTTTATCTGCATAGTGCTTTGCGTGAAACACCTGCTTTGATGGCATAAGGTGCTTTACGACCCAGAACTCTTGATTGATAACACTCTCCTCAGACACGGTCAACCCGGTCATACGACCACTACACCACAGCGTAGCACCATAACCAAGATGATAGGAACGCTACCCCACGCGTTGCTGACCCGGTCCTCTCTACGTCACGTTGTCGTAGCATCCTTCTTATCGCTCCTGAAAGTGAGTAAATATGTCTTCATTGATGCAGAAGGGTATATGGTTGAGGTTTCCTATTTTTTGAATCCATCTGTGAGTCGGATAGTCTGCTGTTGCGCAAGGCATTGCATGCCCTGGCGCTTCTTTCATCGGCCTTATGAGAAGCTTTACGCATCGTCTGCGTCAACATCTAACACTCTCATATACAGCTTTAAGCCTCCTGGATCTGTATCTAGAACCTGAAATCGCACATCGAGTGCTCGTAGTGCAAAAATCCTGCAAATTCATGCCTTGTGGCCATGCATAATGGAGGATGTTTGTCTCCGGCTGCCCCCGACCTCCAACCTCATTCCAAGGAGCATCCCGATTAGGCAGCCACTGGTAGCCGCATTAGCTATTACCAGGCATAGAACCCGGAAAGAACATGTCTGCAGCAGCCTTGCCGTCGCACGGCGGACTTCTTGCAGCTTCGATGCGTGGAAACGTCGTCACAGCCGAAGATGTGGATGCGGCGTGACGGCGTGAGAGGTTGTCGAGACAAGATGGTTCGTTCGAAGAGCCCTGGCGCCACTCGGCGCCGATCTGCCGACCGTGGCTTGACCCTTTCACCCTCAGAAATCTCTTCGGATCTGTGGCGGTGGGCGTTGGCGTTGGGCAGGAACACACCAATCACAGTGCGTTGCAAAGAGCGTGCTCGCCGCACGGACCATGTCAGCCTAGGGGGACGGCTCAACCTCCACCACGCCAAGCGTCCGAGTTTTGACGTCCTGTTCCCCCACGGCCCTCCAGGATGACCAAGGCTTCTCTCCGCAAGCCAGGCACGTTGACCGTCGGCTGGCTGCCATTGGCAAGCCGCCTCCATACGATCAAAACGCTGCTTCGTGTGGCTGCTGCTATCGGAGAGCCTGACGTTTGCGAATGACCGCTGTGCTCGCACGGTCTACCCGTCAGATCTTCAAATGCCCCCCTCGGCAGGCATTGCGTGGAGCGAATACACTCCCATGGGGAGTCCACGTAGTTACAGGTCTTGGGGGACCAAGAGGGAACTAAGAGGGGACGGGGCGGGCTCCTTTTTATCCTCCCTTGTGCAATGAGTAAGGTCGCACAGGCACTGGTACCGGGCTCTGTGCTGCAAGCGCAAGCGTCGCGGGCACTGGCTGACCGCCCGCTAGAGCGGCTAGTCTGTGGGATAAGGTGCTGGACCGCGGGCGTAGAAGCCTTCTCGAACGTCCTTCGCTTCGGCTCAACCGCCTGGAAGGGAAGCAAGAAAGTTCATGACGCGAAGTTTTTTTGCAGGGGCACACGTGGGGCATGCCTTCGTCGTTGTTGGAAGAGGTGCGCAGCGTCTAGCATCCGCAGTGAATGCTCCCGCCCGCCGACACCCTATCACCTTCCCCCAACACTCGTTAGCATCAAGCCCATTCGCCGAAATCTGGTCGATCTGCGCCAGGCCGCTTTTCTGGTAACTTTTGCTCGTCCCGACTCTTCGCTCCGGCTGTCAATTCGCCTCGCCATCCTACAGGTGTATATATCTGATCTAGGACCCTGCCACCTATCTCTCTTCACCAAGCCGTTCAACTACTTCCTACCTTACCTTTTACTTTGGTCACCGCACAGCTCCATCAACATGGGGGGCTTCTTTGGCACCGCCGCAGAGAGTTGGCGCATGTTCAGCGGCGTGGAGAAGAGAAATATTATGATCTATATCGGCGGTACGTACAACTCTCCCCTCTATCGAACTCGTCGCTCATGGCTTATCCAGGTATCATGTTGTACAAGTTTGGTCTTGAGGCCTTCAACGGCTCCATCGTAGCGCTTGCAACAAATCGCTACGACAACGAAGCGAAGCTCACCGGCACCACGGCCCGAACGTTCGAGCGCGTCGGCCTGCTGGTCGGTCTCAACCAGGCCTTCCAATGTGTCGGCTCCATTCTCATCGCTCCCCTAATCAAACGCTTCCAAACCAAGATGGTCTTGGCGTCTGCCATCTTTGTCTTTGCCATTTTCACCGCGCTGCTCATGATCATCGATGCTGCAACCGGTGGCACCCTCAAGCCGAAGGGCGCGAAGAGCAGTGACTGGTCCTACTACGGGTGAGTTTGACTGCCGCACTTGACAAGCGTAGGGCTAATTGAATCCAGCACATACAACACTGATGGCATGATTCCCATCTACTGCCTAACTGGTATTGCCTATGGCATGGTGGAGTTGATTCGACGTGTCATTCCCCGTGATATCGTTGGAGGTAATGTCCAAAAGCTCCGACGCATGGATGCCTTGGTCCATATCTTTTACGAGATCGCCGGTACCTCAGGAGCGTTCTGCACTGCTCTGGGCCTCATCCCTTATTTCGGCAACAACTTCTCCTTCATCATCACGCCGATCTGCTTCACGTGCGCTGCCGGTGTGTGGTTCCTCATCAGCAGGCTCGGAACCCCCATCTCTGCGGAAGAGGAGCGCAGCCGACTTGCACGTACGGAGAAGCCGAACTACGTCAAGTCAATCTCAGCATCGATCTTCTTGTTCTTCCAGTCCATATGGACCGGCGGCAAGATAATCTTCACTTCCCGCCGTTACATCTGGCTCCTTCCCGGGTACACATTTGCATTATACGGACATCGTTACGTCGAGAACGGTGTCTCTCCCGCGATTGCACGTCGGTACCTTGGAAACTCTGCGTGGTCCCAGATCATGGTCGGAGGTAGCAACTTTGGCGAACTTCTCGGTGCGCTCTTCGTCTTCCTCTTTACAAACCTGGTGACCACTCCTATGCCCTGGCTGCGTCTAGACGCGCTTCTCTTGTTGATTCCGTGGTTCTTGGTTCGTTTTTCCTGCTCTCCCGACCGTCCATAACAAGATACTGATCGGATTTCTAGTCATCTTGGTACCCTCCACGGAACGACGTGAACCAAGCCTGGATCGTCGCGGGTGCCTTCATTCCAGTGAGTTTTGGTTGGGCGGCGGGTGACGTCTCACTTGCGGCCTACATCCAGGCGTCGCTGGCCCGCAAGGAAGCGGAGACGAAGAATGTCAGTGCTCTCGGAGCCGTCATGGCATTCCTCTACAGCACGTACATTGTCATCTACGCCATTGCTTCACCTTTACTTGGACGGTACATCGACCGCGTATCCGCGGCCAACGGTGGCGATATTCACGACGCTATTCGGAACGTCGCTGGCGTGCAGTTCACCGTGATTAGCGTCTGCGTTCTTCTTGCATCCTTGGTACCCAAAGGAGCCATCGCCTTCAACCCTAAGATGCTTGACGGCCAGTCGTTGGATTCCGACATCGGTCAGACCTACGAGAAGGACCGGGAAAGCAGCGACATCGAGCTCAAGGATGAGAAGGCCGTCATGCAGCCAGCTGTCAAGCCTGGAGATGGGCCGTTGTAGAATGCTTTGGATTTCGGATATACCTAGGATGACTGTCTTTCACCATTACGCGTTACGATCGGAGTGGGGCGTACAACGAGCATCGCGGGTCGATTTGTTGGAGCTGGCGCGTGCCGTAGTGACGTGGATTAGAGCACGGGACGTCAACCGTTGCTTGTAGAATACCATAATACCATACTGCAGCGAATTTACCAAAAGCACTCACTGTCCAAAAAGTCTTCCCAACCTTCAAGATCGTTCCAGAAGCGTGCACAGCACGTGTGAAACATGCTGCGATGAGTTCATCACGGTTTAGATCCGGTTTAGAAGCTCGCATGTGGGTTACATCGAGCTTTAACCCCTTTACAGGAATCCCCACGGGGGATGGGTTGAATCAATGCTTGCGCTAAAGCCACAGCAGATTGAATCAATCATAAGCGATGTAGATGCTCCAACGGCTACAACACTCACTCCTCGAGATCTATCTCAAGATCACGAACACTTGTTTGACACACTCGGTGTCAGCCAAAGAAGATGGTCTTGCGATCAAGTAGTTTGACTTTCGGCTACGGCGCTCCGCCAACAACACCGCCATTATTAAGATAGACCTTTCCAGCGTCGCCAAAGGATCTCCCCGAGCTATCGAGCCCTTCAGGAATGACCTGGGCTTTGCGAGATACGAACTGAACCTGATCTCTCTTTTAAGGAGCTGTCACGTGCAAGCGCGCACGGGTTTCAGCTATCTAACCCCGTTCTTCAACCTCCACCTAAGCATCAGCATCAGTATCATCTCAGACACCACCACCATGGAGTCCTCACGCATACTGCAGCAGCTTCTGCGCTCCCCAGTAGCCCCTCGAAACTCTATTGCCATACCGCACAGAACACCGCCCATACCCAAGCCATCCCAATGCCTCCGACGTCCGTGCCTCACACCAAAAACCTTCGCCCACCACGCATCAACCGAACACCTCCCCCGCATCGCCCAGCCCTCGTTCTGGCAATCCCTCATCCCGCGCGCGCTCCGCAACCGTCGTCCTTCCACCACCTCGCCCACCACCACTCTAACCCGCAAACCCTGGAATCCAGCCACAATCTTCATCATCCTGCCCCTGCTCGTCGGCAGCGGCGCGATCCAACTCCTAGTCCTACGCACCGAGATGACGAATTTCAGCCGCAAAGCCGACGCGCATATCGCGCTGCTGCGGGAAGTGGTTGAGCGGGTCAAGCGAGGGGAGGAGGTCGATGTGGAGGGCGTGCTGGGGGCGGGGGTGCCCGAGAGGGAAGCGGATTGGGAGGAGGTTATGAGGGAGATTGAGAGGGAGGATACGCTGTGGAAGAAGAAGGGGAGGGGGAGAAGGAGGGCCAAAGAGGAGGAGGGGATTACGGAGAAGGAGATGGAGTCGGAGGTGGGGGCTGCGAAAGAGGTTGAGGCGAAGACGGCAAGAGAGGGGGCCGCAGAGGGGACGGGAGAGAAGAGGGGGCCGGTTGGCTTCTACTGATGTCGTGAGAGCGGGGGTTTGGCACTCGTACGCGCTTCCATGGAGGGCGCGGCAGAGCGGCTTTGAGTAGCAGCATGCTCCGCCAGCACGGCTTGAGCGGCGGCCTTGGTTCAGGATCGTCCACGCAACGAAGGCAGATTCAACGGATGCCCGCACATCGTGGCAGAGTCCATAAGCCCGAAAATCATTCTCAACGCTAAGGGAGCATTTCCCTCCAATATCAGCCCGGCAAGACAGCATCATCTGCTTTGTCTCGCCACCTCAAGCAGTGCCTGTGGATCATGTCTCCGCGCCATGATGACAGGACACAGGACGGAACTAGCTTGCCAGACACATTACTATGCGCGGGAAAGCGACTCAGCAGCTCAGCCCCGGCCCGGCTTCGGGCACTGATTTCGTGTTTAAGGATTACAGTTACGGAGGCCGCAGCTTCTGCATTTGGTTTAGCAACGGTGGGTGCTTGGGACCCGGTCACCAGGACTAGCTCTTGAGCCAGGAGGGTTGTGGATGCACTTTTCGTATGACGGCGGCATAGACACTTCAGCAGCACAGAGCGGCACTACAGATTTGCTTCGTAGCGGCGTAGTCTTGTCAAGCATCGTGTCGGAGCAGTGGGAGCTAACTTAAACTTGCGTGGAACAGCGAATTTTTAAGGCGCATCTCCCCGCTTCAGTGTCATCAGACAACTGAGCAAGCCCTTTGCCGCGGCTGTGAGAGCGCCGGCAGCGTCTTGTAGCGTAGGTGGACTTAAAGCGTTATGCCACGCTATGCAACTGCTCTGCCAAACTCCCCCATCCCACACCCACCTCCCTACGTCCAAGCCTCATCATCCCTGCCCTCACTCCTCTCAAAAGCCTCCATAGCCTCCTCGCCCGCCTCATCGAACACATCGCCCAGCCTCTGCACCTCCTGCCCTGCATCTCCCTCCCCATCCCCTTGGTTTCCCTCACCCTCACTCTCGCCCTCATCATCCACATCGGCATCATCAAAAAACACACTCGTCTGCCTCTCCAGCTCCTGCAAGAACGAGCCCCTCCGCCGTCGTGGATACTGCTGCTGCCCCGCCTCCGTCCCCGTAGTCTTGCGGCTCGGGGGGCCAAGCTCGAACATGCTGTGTGGCCGCTCGGCCTCGGTGTGGGATATGGGCGTCGCGATACTGTGGCGCTTGCGGGGTACTCCTAATGCAGAAGGCGTGCGCGAGGTGGAGGGGGAGCCTTTCCACCAGTCGGACAGCCGCTTGGATATGCTGGGGGAGGGCGGAGGCTGGTCGTTACCGTTGTTGGGGGATGGCTCCGGGGACTCAGATTCGGAGCCGGAGAGGGAGGTGCTGCTGCCCGAGTCGGGGGATGCTGCGAACGGCGGAGGAGCCACGCCGCCGTTGTCGAGTCGTTGGTGCTGGGTTGCTGGAGTGCGTGGACGGCGTTCTCGCTTCTCTTTTCGACGTAGAAGGTCGCGAAGGTCGTCTTCGGAGAGGATGTTAGCCAGGAGTCCCGGACTCTTGAGCCCATCTACCGCCGCTGGTGTGGTAGCCGGCGTCTTCTTCTCCCGCGTACTCCTCCTCCCCCTCTCAATCAACCGCTCAACCCTCATCCTATTCGCAATGAACTGCAGCTTCGGAAACGCGCTCTGCTGCCCCACGTATATCATTCTCGCCAGCCGTTCCGGCGACGGATCCGAGAGGATATGCACGAAGTCCGAGGGTATACTCTTCGGCCAGATCGTGATGGTCCCGCTGAAGCGCTGGAGCCAGATCTCGGACCAGTCCTGGCCGAGCGGGCGGGGCAGCAGCTCGAGGTGGCGCAGGACCTTGAGCCATTTTGTTAGGTCCAGCTTGAGGTACTGCTCCGTTGCTGACCCAAGGAAGCCGCCGCGCCAGCCGCGCCCGCGACGGTGCGTCACTGGCCGTCCGACACTGCCGCGAGACGAGAAGAAGAACAGGTTGATGTGCGGGTTGACCTGGCTGACGATGCTGAAGCGGACGTTGAAGTGCAAGTTCAGCGCCTTGAGCGGGATATCCGTCCGCAGACTGCCGTCTTTCCACTTATGGCCAAAAGAATACGGCTCCAGTTTTCCATCCGGCCGCTTCTTCATCAGCACGACCGGGTTCAGAATCCCCGGCACCGCCGCAGACGCCAACACCGCGCTCCAGATGACGCAGTCGGGAGACGTGATGTAGTTTGCCAGGATTGTCGGCGAGTGCGGGTCGCTGGGCACGCAAGTCACGTTCAGGATACGGCCAGTGCGCTGGTAAGCTTCGCGGAAGGTGAGGCTGCCGTGGCAGAACCACGCGCAGCGCTTGGCCCAGTCGACGGCGTCGAAGCGCGCGCCGGTGGCCCACCAGCGCCGGAGCCAGGTCAAGATGTCGTCGTGGCAGGCGGTGATACGGTTGGCGAGAGCGGGCACAAGGAGACGCTTCAGCTCGTCGTCGGTGCGGGTTGCGAGGAGGGCGGCTACAAGGGCGCCGCCGGAGGTGCCGGTTATCACGGTTGGGAGGAGGGAGGCGTCCATTAGGGCTTTTGCCACGCCGAAGTGGTAGTATGCGAATGTGGCGCCTCCTGAGAGACACAACGCGGTGCGGCCATAGTTTGTGGACAGGTGCTTGAAGAAGTTGTGTTTGGCTTCTTGCGATAGATAGGGTGTGGAGGAGAGGAGCTCGAGCGAGGCGGAGACTTGGTCGAAGTAGGATTGAACTAGGTGTTTTGTGCCGAAATAGGTTTCAGAGTACAGATGCGGGTTCTCGGTGCCAGACCAATTGGACTTGACGCAGGCTTCGACGAGACTGCGCAGGTCTTCGACTGCCTGCCGTTGCCGCTCCTCACTTATGTTTTTGGCATGCTCTCCGTTGACTTGCGCAGTCGCATCCCCAGCAGCTGCACGCAGCCTCGCCATCTGATCTCTTACTCGCCGGACAGTCTTGCTGTCATAGTAGGCATACTCCTCCTTGGCCTTCCACTCGTCGTTGCCCAAGTACGTATCCAGCTCCTTTGCTGCGTCCACCCACTCCTCATAATGGCTCTTGCTCTGCAGCGCCCGCCTCAGTCGTTCTCTCTTGCCACGCCATGTCACAAAGTGCTCGTACAAGTAGATGTACACCCGCGTCAAGAGGTAAGAGATGCCCAGGAAGATGAGCCAGCCGAAGACGGTAAACAGCAACGGCCACTTGAGCAGCGTGTAAACGAAGCCCTCCCTCGTCTCGTCCACGCCTCGTCTCGGAGGCCTCTGCTTCTTCCCGGGCCGTCTACTTCGCACGCGCTGGTGTATGGGGCGCCAGTCGTTGAGCGCGGTGATGAAGACGGACTGAGGCTGTCCATTGGGAGTGCCGAGGTCTTCCTGAGAAGGAGAGGTGTTTTCGGGCGCGGAGAGTGCGTTGACGAAGGCGTCGAAGTGCTCCTCGTCTACAAAATCATCATCGTAGTCGGGCAGTTGGGTGAAGTCGTACGCCGAGGCGGCGAAGGGCAAGGGGCCATCTGTTGCCTTGTTCGCGTCGGCCATTGCTGAAGACGGGTGAGAGTGATACAGGTAGACTAGGCGGGCGACATAACTCTAGGGGGTGGAAGAAGAGCACAGTTGGCGTGGAGACATGGAGAAGGGGAGCGTAAGGCGGTCGTCTGAGAAACTCGAGGTCGCGTGTTGGGATAAGGCGGCAGGGCTGTGACGTCGTTTGGTATACAGCACACGGGAACAATGGCCGGTGGGGAACGATCAACCGCTACATCAGGATGCTGGGAAGACTGCAGATGCAGGTGCAGGTGCAGGTGCATATGGGCGCTGTTAGCTTCATCCTTCCAGTAAACCGTCTCGACGATGCATGCTGCCACTTCAGACCGAGGTATCAAAGCTCCCTGCGTCCCGCCATACGAGCACGCATCCTGCTGCCTTCCCGCGCCCACCAATACGCCCCTTCCCGCCGACACCTCCTCACCCTCGCCATCGAAACCTCCTGCGACGACACCTCCGTCGCCATCCTCGAAAAGCATGACGGCAAGCTAGACGGCAAGCTAGGCACGCCTTCTGCACGCCTCCACTTCCACGAAAAGATCACCGCAAACACCGCCCTCTACCGCGGCATCCACCCCCTCGTAGCCCTCGAATCGCATCAAACGAACCTCGCGCGGCTCGTCGACCGCGCGCTTCGAAGCCTACCCGATGCCGACCATGCGGCTGTTGGACGCCCGGCTCGATGCGTGCCTGTACTCGCCGACAGGAGGGACGGGAGCAGGGCCGGCATAGCATGGAAGCAAAAGCTGGACTTCGTCTCCGTGACGCGCGGGCCGGGCATGCGCTCCAGCCTAGCAACAGGGCTGGACACGGCCAAGGGCCTCGCGGTCGCGTGGCAGGTGCCGCTGGTGGCAGTGAACCACATGCAGGCGCATGCGCTGGCGCCGAGGCTTGTCAGTGCGCTGGAGCGGGCTGCGACAACCACAGCGGAGGGGACTGGAGGCGGGCATGCGGGTGCCAAACCAGCGTTTCCGTTCCTCAGCGTGCTGGTTAGTGGCGGCCATACGCTGCTTTTGGAGAGCAGGGAGCTGGTCGAGCATAAGATACTGGCGAGCACGAAGGACATCGCTATCGGTGACTGTCTGGACAAAGTCGCTAGGGCTGTGTTGCCAGCAGAGGTTCTCGCGAGTGCAGAGACCACAATGTACGGCGCGCTGCTCGAGGCCTTTGCCTTTCCGGACGCGGAGTACGCGTACGCGCCGCCCAAATCCAAGGGCGAGGAACTTTCGGCTAGGAAAACGGACTACACGTGGTTCGTCAAACCACCGCTCTCTGAATCTCCCTACGGCGCAAAGGCCCACGCGATGGAGTTCTCCTTCTCCGGTCTCGTGACATCCGCCGAGCGCTTCATGGCGTTCAGGTCGGACCCGCTGACCGGACGGACGACGAAAGAGCCGCGGGTTCCAGCGGAGATTGGCATCGAAGAACGGAGGACGCTGGCGAGGGAAGTGATGCGCGTTGCTTTCGAGCACCTGGCCAGTCGCGTCGTGCTTGCGCTCTCACAAGCCTCCGCCAGCACTGGTGCGTCTCAACCCATCAAGACACTCGTCGTCAGTGGCGGTGTGGCCAGTAACAAATTCCTGCGGCATCTCCTCCCGGCGTTTCTGGCAGCGCGAGGTTTCGAGGGGATGGAGATACTAACGCCGCCGCCGAGTCTGTGCACCGACAACGCGGCGATGATTGCGTGGGCGGGGATGGAGATGTTTGAAGCTGGGTGGACGTCCGAGCTGGAATGTTTGGCGCTGAGGAAGTGGAGTTTGGATCCGGGGGCAGAGGATGGAGGCATTTTGGGTGTTGGAGGGTGGGTTGCCTAGAGTGGGGGGGTAAGGGGGGTTCCTGGCGGTAAAAGCGTGATCTTGTGATACCCAGAAGGGGACAGGAAACGGCCAGCAGAAAGCATAGGGCATTCTATACCACTGAGCGGTGTTGCTGAAGCCATACCTTGGACAGTCAGATCTAAGCCGGAGAGAAGCGTGTCCGGGGTTAGTCTGGAGGTCGTAGATGCAGATGGTGAGGAACAGGAGGATGAAAGGAAACGATTGATATGGGCGCAGGGCATGTACACCTAATGACGTTGTTCTAGCGGGATGCGTATGCCCCCTTGCCAGCGGGTGATAAAGCTTTCACCTTATGCTAATCTCCTGCTCTTCACTCAGACCGTCAAGCCAGGTGTCGAAGCCCATACGGCTAACGAACCAAAGTTCCGCCATTCCCACCCGCTCAAACCAGTCGCTGCCGGCGCTTTGACTGAGCACTAAGCACTGGACCGAAAACCCTCGCAGTGGAAGCCCCCGCGAATTACGACCAATCGCGCTATCCGTGTAGCTGAGCGGCAACAAGTGGATGAAAGAACCTTCCTCCACATGTATATCCAGCGCCGAAAACGTTTCTCCCAGTTCCTCGAACAGAACCAACTGCAGGCGAGGGACAGTTATAGGGTGGAACGTTACACGCACCGTCCCCAGTCGTCCTATCAATCCGAGTACTGCGTGAAAGACTTGTCCTACCATGTTGTGATCTGAAGGATGGCACACGATGTCCGTTGATATGCTGCTGACCAGCGGCGTGTATACGTCCTGTGAGAAAGCGTGGGACGAGAACGTCACAGGACCATCCATGACTGCCCAAGACCATGTAGGTGCTCGGTATTCAGGCGACCTAGTCCCTTCAGAGTAAGTCGCGGTATACCACATAAGGTCGAAAAGGACATTGGGCAGCCAGAGTCCAGCGAGATACTGAAACCCAGTGCGCTCGCGAACACGTTGTGCGAGTCCAGAGAGCGCTATCAGTTTATCTTCTGCTTTTGTGAGATCGCAAAGCGAGTACTTCCAGACGATATGTGTCCAGTGTTTACGGAATAGTTGGAGTTGTATAGCATTCGTCGGTGTTGTTGATTCCAATAAGAACCTGAAACTAATCTGGTCCGTAAACGTCTCATCGGTGGGTCCAGTCCTGGTGTTTAGCAGACTGTTTGAGCCGAAGATCTTGAAGACACTGGTGATGTTGCCTGCAGGATCCCGCAAGACTCCTACGCCTTCGGGATCTAGCTCGCTGGCTTGGCCCGAGAAACACTCCCAGAATATGCCCCGTCGACCAAAGATCAGAGTCCTGCGGGCTAGGAGGCGCTCCTGAAATACCCATCCGCGATGACCTAGGCGAGAGTTCTCCGTCTCCTCGTTTGTGTGTAAGACCACGGCCTCGCCATCCTGGTGCAGACTTGTGACGTAAACATTTCCGCCGATTCTGCACTTTGCACATATCAGAGGATCCCTCTCCGAGAAGCAGCCCGAGTGCGAATCTCTCCCTGCAGCAGCGGCGATGACGCATACCGCATTCTGATATATTTGGGCCATCATGAGTGACTCTTCTGCCCAGTCCTCCCGAGAGTCCTGGATTATGCACAGGCTGTCGATCCAGATATACTGTACGCCTATCCGTCGGGAGATTGTAATGGCATCCCGAAAGGTTCTTGGAAGCAGTGCCAACGGGATCCCGCCACGAAACCGTGTCAGCTTGTCACCTGTAAGCCTGAGTATATCCGTGGCTCCTCCCCAGCAGTGGCTGAGGCAGCAGTACACGGATCCCTTTGTTTCTTCAGGTCCGCACAGACGAACTTCTGTTGTGTTGGACGTCGCACCAACATACAACAAACGCGTAGGGACGAAGCCGGGGTTCGTGGTAGTGCAGTGAGGGTGTTTGTCCTTGCAGTGATCCAGCCATCGAGCCGCGAGCGCAAAGTGGGCATCAGATGATGTAGAGATAAATGTGATAGACGGATCCGGACAACTCCTCAAATTTCTCGCATCAGGAAAGTCCGGGATAGCTATGAGACAAGGCACGACTGAGCGACTTCTCATGGTAGATAGAGGACATGTCTACTCACCCATTCCCTCGAACGACGAGCAAGCGAGCTCTTCAGCTTCAACAATCTCAGACTCGTGCGTGTAAAAAGGCGCAATGCCCAAGTCCCCTCGGGTCTCATTCCTTCTCCATCTGATACACAAGCCGAGACCTTGCAAGTCTACAGGAGCCTCATCGCTACGCAGTTGCTCTGTCAGGTGGGTACAGAGATGACAGCCGCTGTGAATAGATTTGTGCAAATCCGATGTCGAGGAGTGCAAATCGAATCGCTCTTCCTCTATCTGATCGCGCTTCCCGAGGCGCGAATCTCCGGACAACGTTACGGAGACGTCCTGATTGATGAGTTTTGATCTCGAAAACACGGACTTGCAGGACTCGCATAGAACATGGAGCTGGCGGGTTTCTCCGCTGCAAACATTCCTTGGGCGGAGATTAGTCAAATGGAGCGCGTCGTGGATGTTATCAGCTTTCGGTTGACTTGAGAGCACCATACAATCGGACGCGGCTTCTGGTGTGTTTGGAACCATACTGTTACCGCGTATAGCCAATATAGGTGAGATAATGGCTCTACAATTCGGTGGACGAAAGCGGCAAGGACGTGATAGAGAAGACTATGGATGTTCCGAGACAAGAGCCCCGTTACCATCTACAGACAGATTCTGTATTGTACAGTAGCTACCCTCTACTGAATCATCCGCAAAATAAAACAACGAGCTACATCAGATTCCAAGGTCCCCTGTACCGCCTGCCATGAAGAGGGAGTTGTGCAGCAGGCAGACACAGACGAGGCAGGCATCTGACATAAGGTAGTCTAGCTGATACTCGTATGTTCTTTACCACGGCGTCTGTTTGGACTGGTGGATGGAGACTTCTGGAGAGATCCACAAGTGACCACAAGTGGTGGAGTCTGCCTTGGTGGTGAGGCTGAAGCGCTCAGGAACGGTGAAGGCGGTGAGGCCGTCTGTGAGCGCTGGTTGGTGGGCGCTTCGTGGAAAGCGGTCGAACTTTCTCGCTGCTGAGAGCACGGCGCACTGGCCAGCAATTGTTTCTGTCGTCAAGCCAAACCGCATATAAACTCTTGCTCCAACAGCCTCGTGCCTTCGACATAGACAAAAAACCTCGAATTGCACTCAAGCCATCATCTTCCCATCTAAGATACCCAGCGCCCTCACGCGTACCCTTTCGCCTTCATCACAATAAACTGTAAGCAGCTTCCTCAGCCTTGAGCTCCTGACGCTGTCTCAAAACAGCATACAAACCTCAGCCCTCACCTGCAGTTTGACACCAATCGACCCGGCGAAAAGCTGCTGACACCTTGTCCAGACAGACAGACATCAATCCTTCACACACAAACACCGCCATCATGTCTGCAGAGACTTTCGAGTTTCAGGCCGAGATTTCTCAGCTCCTCTCCCTCATCATCAACACTGTCTACTCGAACAAGGAGATCTTCCTACGAGAACTCATCTCGAACGCCTCCGATGCGCTAGACAAGATCCGATATGAGTCTCTTTCAGATCCGTCCAAGCTCGATTCGGGCAAGGACCTGCGCATCGACATCATCCCCAACAAGGAGAACAAGACCCTCACAATCCGGGATACTGGCATTGGCATGACCAAGGCCGACTTGGTGAACAACCTCGGCACCATCGCCAGGTCCGGCACCAAGCAGTTCATGGAGGCCCTCACCGCCGGCGCCGACATTTCCATGATTGGCCAGTTCGGTGTCGGTTTCTACTCAGCTTACCTTGTGGCTGACCGTGTTACCGTCGTGTCGAAGCACAACGATGACGAGCAGTACATCTGGGAGTCGAGCGCCGGCGGCACCTTCACCCTCACCCAAGACACCGAGGGCGAGCAGCTTGGTCGCGGCACCAAGATCATCCTCCACCTGAAGGATGAGCAGACCGACTATCTCAACGAGAGCAAGATCAAGGAGGTCGTCAAGAAGCACTCCGAGTTCATCTCCTACCCCATCTACCTCCACGTCGTGAAGGAGACCGAGAAGGAGGTGCCTGACGAGGATGCTGAGGAGGTCGAGGAGGGCGACGAGAAGAAGCCCAAGGTTGAGGAGGTCGACGATGAAGAAGAGGAGAAGAAGGAGAAGAAGACCAAGAAGGTCAAGGAGACCAAGGTCGAGGAGGAGGAGCTTAACAAGACCAAACCCATCTGGACACGGAATCCCCAGGACATCACCCAGGAGGAGTATGCGTCCTTCTACAAGTCACTCTCCAACGACTGGGAGGATCACCTCGCTGTCAAGCACTTCTCCGTAGAGGGTCAGCTGGAGTTCCGTTCCATCCTCTTCGTTCCCAAGCGCGCTCCCTTCGACCTGTTCGAGACGAAGAAGACCAAGAACAACATCAAGCTCTACGTCCGCCGCGTCTTCATCACCGATGACGCCACCGACCTGATTCCCGAGTGGCTGAGCTTCATCAAGGGTGTCGTCGACTCCGAAGACCTTCCGCTTAACCTGTCCCGTGAGACCCTTCAGCAGAACAAGATCATGAAGGTCATCCGGAAGAACATCGTCAAGAAGACTCTCGAGCTCTTCAACGAGATCGCCGAGGACCGCGAGCAGTTCGACAAGTTCTACTCCGCCTTCAGCAAGAACATCAAGCTTGGCATCCACGAGGACTCGCAGAACCGCCAGCAGCTCGCCAAGCTGCTCCGCTTCCACTCCACCAAGTCCGGTGACGAGACCACCTCGCTCTCCGACTACGTCACCCGCATGCCGGAGCACCAGAAGCAGATGTACTACATCACCGGCGAGTCGCTCAAGGCCGTGCAGAAGTCTCCCTTCCTCGACGCGCTCAAGGAGAAGAACTTCGAGGTTCTCTTCCTCGTCGATCCCATCGACGAGTACGCCATGACGCAGCTCAAGGAGTTCGACGGCAAGAAGCTCGTCGACATCACCAAGGACTTCGAGCTCGAGGAGACCGAGGAGGAGAAGAAGGCGCGCGAGGCCGAGGAGAAGGAGTTCGAGCCGCTCGTCAAGTCGCTCAAGAACGTCCTTGGCGACAAGGTCGAGAAGGTCGTCGTCTCGCACAAGCTCATCGGCTCGCCGTGCGCCATCCGCACCGGCCAGTTCGGCTGGTCCGCCAACATGGAGCGCATCATGAAGGCCCAGGCTCTCCGCGACACCTCCATGTCTAGCTACATGAGCAGCAAGAAGACCTTCGAGATCAGCCCCAAGAGTCCCATCATCAAGGAGCTTAAGCGCAAGATCGAGGCTGATGGCGAGGAAGACCGCACCGTCAAGAGCATCACCCAGCTCCTTTTCGAGACCTCACTGCTTGTCTCTGGCTTCACCATTGACGAGCCTGTGCAGTTCGCTGAGCGCATCCACAAGCTCGTCAGCTTGGGCTTGAACGTGGACGAGGAGGTTGAGACCGCGGAGGAGAAGGCGGAGACGGAGGGCGCGGCGGCTGAGCCGGCCGGCGAGAGCGCGATGGAGGAGGTCGACTAGATTCATCACTGAACTGAGGTACCTTTTGCTCTTCGGTGATGTGGGCTTTGCATTAGATCTACAGGCGTTGCGCTTGGTGGATAGCGCAGGGATGGATTGATGAAGCGTTTATAGTCGCTACACTTTTGCTGTGTAATCTAGTTTGAGAAGAGGGCTATGGTGGTAATGGCGAATGATAAAAGCATTCAAGTTACATCACTGTTAATCTGACTGTTGTGCATATACCTATGAAACTGCGTGACATCCACTGGCTGCTCTTACTATTGCCCAAGTGTTTAAGTGACCGCTCCACGTCAAGACTCGTATCAGAAGCAGGCCTCCTTTCAAACCTCCTCCCCTTTTGCAACTAACATCGATTCAGCCGCTGAGGTTGCGGAGGCTGGTTGATCCTATTCTTAAATATACTCAATCTACGTTTGCCTGAGGACGAGGGTCCCATTGCTGCTGAGCTGCATTCTCGCGCCGTCGTGTGTATACGATCATCTTCTATAATGCAAGATACACTAGTATCCAACAAACAACAGAGCTTATTCAGCGCATCTCCTACCTAACATGTCTCATACCCCGACTCTGCCTCCTTGACTTCGGAGAAATCTGCCTCTCCCGTCAAACCAATTTTGGAAGGTGGGGGCGGCAGTTGGCCGCCAGCACCCCGCAATCCCCGGCAACAAACATCATGATTTCTCCACAGCATCGATGTCATTGTGCAAACTACTAACAAATACCCCATTGCGCCTCACAACTCGTCCGTCTACTCTCAAGCTCGCCTCAATTGCAAACCGAGCATTTCGCCAACCCACCATGTCCTTCACCACCAACGCGACCATCGCCTCCTTCGGCGGGAAGCTCCTGAAGCTGTCCCACGAAGCCAAATCAACGAACTGCACCATGGGGTTGAACCTGTACCTCCCGCCGCAAGCGGAGAAGGGCAAGGTGCCTGTGCTGTTCTACCTGTCGGGCCTTACCTGTACGGGCGACAATTGCGCCGAGAAGGGCTTCTTCCAGCACAAGGCGAGCGAGAAGGGTATCGCGGTCGTGTACCCCGACACAAGTCCGCGTACGTACAGAACCCCTCCTCATGGCATCTGCTATCGAAACAAGGAGGCCATAGCGGGGGCACAAGCGGCTAACCACAGCATCAAACCCCAGGCGGCCTCAACGTCGAAGGCGAAGACGAATCCTACGACTTCGGCACCGGCGCCGGCTTCTACGTCGACGCAACCCGCGAGCCCTGGAACAAGGGCTACAACATGTACAGCTATATAACCTCCGAGCTCCCCTCCGCCCTCTTCGACGCCTTCTCCGACAAGCTCGACGCGGACCGTGTCAGCTTGACCGGCCACTCCATGGGCGGCCATGGCGCGCTCACCATCTTCCTCCGAAACCCAGGGAAGTACAAGTCCTGCTCCGCCTTCGCGCCGATTGCCAACCCCATCAATGCGCCGTGGGGCCAGAAAGCGTTCAAGGGCTATTTCGGCGAGGAGGATAAAGGGAAGTGGAAGGAGCACGACGCGACTGAGCTCGTGAAGAAGTGGCCGAAGGAGCAGACGCTAGATTTGCTGATTGATGTTGGCACGGGCGACAACTTTTATAAGCAGGGCCAGCTGCTGCCGGAGAATTTTGTAGACGCGGCGAAAGAGGCGGGTGTCGCGGATAAGGTTAAGCTGAGGTTCCAGCCGGATTACGACCATAGTTATTACTTCATGGCGAGTTTTGCGGACGAGCATGTCGAGTACGCGGCCAAGTTTTTGGAGGCGTAGTACGTATCTACCTCGTATCCTTCTTGGCGCGATTGGGTGGATGCTGACTCTGGCAGAAGCGGTGGAGCGGGAAGGAAAGAAAAGCTGTAAATAGCCAGGTGTTGAAGTCATGGAAAGGGACAGTTGATATATATCTTCCATGCTAACTTCATAAACTTTGCTTTGCCATGCCTAGAATGACGAAATCCGATTTTACTGAGATACAGCTCCTCCATGAGGTTGTAGTACAGGGTATCGGGAGGTATGGGAAAGAGAAGAATTCGCTTACGCTCAATGGACTAAACTTCGCGAAGTGGAAATTAACAACCAGTACGGCGGTTGATGACTTGGACAATACATAGCCTAAACCCAAGCCTGCTATCTAGAGAGGCGCCCCTGAACGCCATGCATGTAAACCGGCTTGCGCCCCCAGGTATTATAGTAGTTCTTCGCACCTCCAATCCTCATACCTAATGCCACGAAGTCAGCGGCAGCTCATCTCAACATCCGTCCACAATCAGAGAGCACTCACCACCCATCCGGCATATAGCGCCTGATAACAAGGGGAATCTTCTTCTCACGCAGCTCCTTGATAGCAATCTGCAGTGGGTCCGTCTCGCCCTCCAAATCCACCAGCACCGGCGCATTCATGCTGTTAAAACCTCGTCAGCCCCTCACTCGATATTTTCAAACTCCGCCCATCTCCCCATGACCACCTCCTCAGCCACAAGAACCTACCTGATCTGCAGCGCCCGCGTCCCCAGCACCCGCGCACGCTCATACTTGGTCATGTACGGCGTCGTGGTCCGCTTCTCCCTCGGTATCCTCTTCTCCCTGAGGCCCTTGACCGTATTCTTGTTCGCTCTTGCCGCAGCAGCCGCGCTGGGGTCCCCGGCGACTACGACGTTCTGCTCGCCCGGCGCGGCTTGGGAGGTTGGGTCTTCAGCGCCCGCGGCGCCGTGGTCGTCGGGGTCTTCGGCGTCGGGCTCGTCGTAGGCGTAGGGGTCTTCTTCTGGCTCGTCGAAGGTGGGCTCGCTGGCGGAGGATGTTAGCGCTGTGGTTCTGGGGGAGCGGGGGTGCCTGCCAGAGCTGGGATCGGTTTATGGGAATGCGCCGAGGGGACATACTCGTATTCAGGGCCGTCGTCGCCGCCGTAGTCGGACATGGCGGGCGTATTTGGCTCTTGAGGGGAGACTGTTCTAGTGTATGGTTATGGGAATGTAGGACGTGAGGTCGAGTCGAGAGATCCCGCGGCGCAAAGCTGACTGAAAGAAGAGCCAAAAGCGTCGAGAGTGATCAAAAAGTCCGAGATGCCGGCGTTCTGCCGGCTGAAGGCGGTGAGGCTTTCTCGCGCCAAGATTTCGAAACACTACGGAATTTCTTTCGGAGACAGAACCGTCAAGCAGTTGCTCAAGCAGTTGCTCAAGCAATTGCTCAAACATTTGCTTCCTCGGAGTGGCCGATGGCTCCTCAGAAAAGTCTGAAGCGGAAAGCTGACAAGCTCGACGACGCTCCTGCGTCTCAGAAGGCCCGAGAGGGTACGGCCGCACTGGGCGTGAGCTCACTGAAGACTACTGACGAAGTACAGATCCAGTTAACCAAGACGACGGTTCAGACTATTCCGATTCATCCTCTTCGGGAGACGACGAAGCCTCTCGTCCGACACTCACACCTGGCTCACCGCTAACGACCTGCTCAACCCCACGGACACCACGCGAGAAGAACTTCCACTGCCACTACCCGAGCTGCGGCAAGTCCTTCACCCGTCCCTCCCGTCTCGAGGAGCACATCCTATCACACACGGGGGGCCGTCCCTTCGCCTGCAAGCAATGCCCCAAGACCTTCGTCCGCAACAACCACCTCAAACGCCACGTCAAGACCTCGCATACCTCGGAGCGCGACTACATCTGCCACTGGCCAGGTTGTGGGAAGGGCTTCGCGAGCGGCACCCGCCTCCGACGCCATGTAGCCACGCATGAGGCCAAAGAGCAATACCGCTGCAGGGACTACCCGCCGTGCAATGCCACCTTCCGCAAGCATGCCACTCTCCAGAAGCACATCACGAGCGCCCATCTGAACCAGAAACCCTTCCCTTGCCCGTTCATCGACGACGCAACTGGCCAACCCTGCGGGCACGCCTACGACACCGAGAGCGCCCTGCGCGCGCACGAAGGCCGTATACACGGCGGTAGCCGCTATGTGTGCACTCTCTGCTCGCCCTCCGCCATCGGAACGCCCTCCGTCGGAACGCCTTTAACCCCTGTCTCCGCACTCACCGAAACAACAACCACTCCCGTCCCCCGCGTCACCTTCTCCACCTACGCCCTCCTCCAATCCCACATCAAAGCCGCCCACCCGCCGCAATGCCCCCACTGCCCACGCACCTTCGACACGCCCCGCGCCCTGCGCCAACACACCGAGATCGCGCACGCCACCCCGCTCGAGGCGCGTCAAACACACATCTGCGACTTCCCCGGCTGCGGGCGCGGCTTCACTAGGGCCGGCAACCTGGACGTGCACAAGAAAACCGTGCACGGCGCGGTCAAGGCGTTCGTGTGCGGGACAACTGACTTGGCCGGGAGCAAAGATGAAGAGTTGAGGGCGTGGTGGAGTGGGGAGAAGGAAGGGGCGTGTGGGTTTGCACTCGGGACGAAGGCGAATCTGGAGGAGCATGTGCGGACGCAGCATCTAGGCAAGGAAGGGATGCGGGCGAGGAAGGCGAGGAAGAAAGCCGAGGAGGCTAGTGTCGATGTGGAAGAGGTGCGCAGGAGGAACCTGAGGAGGAAGAAAGGGTCAGAGACGCTGCGGACGGTTGCGCCGCTTGCTGGGGCGGGGTGGGAAGGATTGGGGCGGGATATCGATTGCCTCAAGCCCGAATGCGCGCACATGTTCATGCGGGAGTACGATCTATGGAATCACTGTAAGGCGGTGCACCGGATGTCGGATGGGGAGATCGAAGAGGCCATGGCGGAGAGGGCGGAAAGGGACGCCCTTGCTGGCGGCCCGTTCTGGACCCGCGGCGCTAACGGCCGACACGAGGGCTTTTTCGACCAGGAGGAGTTTGAGGCGAATGAGGCGCTCGATCGCGAGGCGGGTATCAACCCTGGCTTGCCGGGCTTCGATGTGCACGGTGGTGGTGGTTTCTCCCGACTGTGGAATCATGAGGGCGTGCCTGTCGATCCGGCGCTGTTGGGCGTCGCGCAGCAGGAGGTAGGTGGGCTGGAAGCTGTAAAGGCTTATTTGCAGCAGGAATGATGAAGCTGCTCCAATTGCTGGGTAGACTTGGGGCGTTTGGGACGTGCTGTTTGCTTCTGCATATGATACCACTTGCTTTACTGGCTGTTGTTGGTTGTTCTCGCGTTGTAGTTGTATTCCAGGTAGTAGCTACGTAGGCATCGTACGTGCTGGACTCATTCCTGGAAGCTTTCAGCTAAATTGCTCAATGATTTCCTCGTCGGAAGGACATTAGAACTTACAAGAACGCTATACTACCCCTGGATGTTCCAACAGTAATGAGTTGATGCTGCAAAGGTACCGTCAAAGTTATATCCATGAGAATGTCTCTAGCGCTACTGATGATTGGTCGATCACCGTTGGGCAAAGTTCGACGGTTGAGTCATGGTAAGAACCGTGGTAGAGGAGCTCACGTGGTTCCGCGAACTCGCGACCACACTCTCGACGCGCTTAATGTTCAGTTTGGTGAACTTCACACTCGAGCAGCGTCGGCAGTAGTAATCCTCCTCGACACAGGATCTTGTCGAAAGCAATATGAGGTGCTTTAGTCGCCTCCGTAACTCCGCCCTGTGGGTGCCAGAATCCGTGGTGGTGATGGTGTTGGTCGGGTTCTGCTTCGTGGTACCAGGGTATATTTAGACTTTGGAAGGAAACTTTGGGACACAGGCGAAATGTTGATGAACAACGGAACGGGCCGCAAGCTTCCTTTCGTACCCAAAGTTCGAATGTCAGAGCGAGTGATGAACCGCAGCGTGAGAATGATCAGAACTCTTCATAAGGAGCTCAAATCCCACTACCGCTCCCCTTCTCTCCCTCTCTCACAAGACCGTAAAAGTAACAAAATCCCTTTTACGACGAAATCATCATCAACAACAATCATCATCAATATCTCAACCCGGTTTCAAGCAAAGACTCACCTCTCCTCACCTCACTCCACCAACCTTACACTCCTCACTACACCCACAAACCTCACCTCCCTCTCCTCACCGCCAAACAGACAAAATGTCTTCCGCGCTTACTCCATCCACCATAAACGCCCACCACGTAGGCGAATTCATCTACCGCTACCTCAAGAACGAGTACTCCTGCTGGCGCCGCCACCCCAAACACGACTACAGCACCATGGCAACAGCCCCCGAACAACGGTGGATGCATCTCGGATCGGCCCTCACGAACGACCTCACCAACCCTCACGTCGTCCGCTTGCAGGAGCTCCACGAATACAACCTCCTCACCTCAAAGGCGCAAAGCTTCCTCGAGCAGCGCCTCATGGAGTTCGCACGCCGCGGCCGCTTCTCCCGCCGCCGCACCAAGTACGCCCGCAGCGACGACACGCGCAGCATCGTGCGCGAGCTGCACATCGCCGCAGAGCTTGTTGCTGTGTTCTTTCCGCCGATGCCGATGCCGTGGCGTTACAGGGAGGGGAAGCCGCTGATGAGACGCGGGGTCAAGGCGCGTTGGCTGGTTGATGGGTTTGGGGCGAGTTTGGGGATGACGACTGTCATGTGGGCCACGGAGATCGTGGTGAGGGAGAGAGAGAACAACCGGACGGCGATGCAGCTTGGACGACTGATGAGGGAAGGGCGGCAGCGGGAGGAGTGCCCGTATTGTGTTGCGGCCGTCGAGCATGTGAAGCATGAGGAGCCGTTGCCGGTGTATGAGGAGGAAGGCGCGTGTGCGTGGCAGAGCGATGAGGGCTTGCCGAGCTATGATGAAGCTGCGCCTTTGGAATGATTGGAGCGCGGAATTTGTCCTGTAGAGTTAGCGTATAACAGTTGAAACTCGGAGTTGCAAAGCCTGATGCGTTCTGGCTGCGCGATGAATATCCATCTCCTGCTCCATTGCGACATGGTGGCCTCGTTCAGCTATGTGCCTGTTCGTGAACACCCTACATGAGCGCTCCTAAGGTTCCGCGACAATGCTACATTGCAGAAGCTGTTGCCGAGTGGAGATGCTACGGCCGATGTGCGAACAGTACTGCTGAGATTCGTACGATGACTTCGTAACAGCTATGACGACAATGACTTGAAACAGGCGGGAAGGAGTTTCGATCTCTTAGCATGACGCTTCTCGTGATATTTTTGACTGTGTTGATGGACCTCAATTCTCCCGGAGGCAGATTGGCGGTGTTTTGGTGCAGGTGGAGGACAACGGGACTTTTCGACATGATCCTTCGCGGTAACCTTAGGTGTGAAGAAAGATAAACGACGCTGCAACATCGTCTACTGCATTGGTTGCGCTCGTTGCTCCTTCCTTTGGCAACCTTCATGATAGAGATTCGGCATAGCATCGACTTCTCACCATCACGCCTTCCTTACCCATGTTTGCATCCTGAATTTATCGCGCGCCATCAACACAGCGCGAGTGTTCGGCATCGGGACGCAGAACCGTCCCTCCTCCATGGCTTCCAGGTCGTTCTTGATTGATCTATGGGACCTCAAGCTGCTCTTCAAGCCAGGCTCCACGTTTCCGGCCCAACGCCAGTGCTGCCATAGTTCTCGATAAACGTTGTGTATTGCCTTACCTCACTGCGCGAACGACGCCTCGCCATCTTCCTCGCAGCGTGCAAACGAATATATCCTCATGCGCTTCAACCTGTTTTCATTACCCGCGGCACCAAAGGCTAGTTTCCTCACAAGCCTTCTTCCTACGGGCTTTACCCATATCTCTAGCCTTGAAGAGCTTTTAGCATTAGCGCCTAATTGCGGCCAAATGCAGCTACAGAATGTACTTTGGGCTTTCAGGACGCGGAATTTCAATGGCAACGGAATAAAATGTAGAACCTGGAGCCGGAAAGAAATACCGCCATGCTTTTATGCTGCTCGAGCAACAAGGTGTCGCGCAGTTGGACAGAAGAAACGACTTTCTATTCTTCTATTGTGATGGCAAAGACGACTTGGAAGAATGGTACTCGAAATAAGGTGGAGAGATGCCTAAGAATCCCGCTTGTAGTAGACCACAATGCGCTGGGATGCGAAGGTCCTGGGGAAATGCCTATAGTAAGTAGTTAGTCAGTCGTATTATGAGACTTACTCGGCCTGGTCGCTCATGATGAATAACAGATAGCTTTGCCCACTCGACACGTGATCTCATATTCCTTTGACTTCGTCGGCTGGATGAGATGCTTCGCATCTCTCTACACGAAAAATTGCTTCCTCACATTTTGTCATCCACGCGCGTCTGCTGACCCTCACGTCGTGCGCAATAAAAGCTTCACCACGACAAGTATGCTTTACTAACCAACACATACACAATAACCTTTCTAAGGCTGTGAACAGTATAGAAAAGCTATCTAAGACAGCCTCAGTCAATCCTTTACCATTTCGAGAAATCTGTTGCTTTATTGGTAAGGGGGGCGTGGTGATAGTAAAGCGACGCGTGGTCGGAAACACATGAAAGATTTTCGCGGTGAGGCTTTTGTTGCGCACAGCGTGCCCTCTCAGCAGCAGGCTGAAACGCTCTCTGCCCGTTTCATTGCGATCGGCATCCTCATGCGATGCATTCATGGACGGTCTCGTGTCAATTCGCCACGTTATCAGGCACATGCGTTGATCTCACCTCTTTCTGCCTTGCGCGAAGTTCGCCGCGCATTCCCCGGGGACGTCAGCCATCATCCCTTGGGGAGTTGGAGCGGCACATTGGGAGGATGCCAGGGAACATCAATCGGAAGGCGGCGCGAAGTGATTGATCTTCGAGATCTCCAGGATCATCGACGATGGATGACTCGAAGTTGAAAGCAGAGCTGGGTTTTGGAGGGAGGCGCAGGCGTTAATCGTTGCCGAAGGCTTCTAACGACCTTCGAGAATATTACCAGATGAAGCATGGTCGGGCAAGGCGAACGGCGTGCCACAAGATCGATTTCGTGGCGTGGAGCGGGGAAGCCGGAAGGGGTCACGTTCAAGCTGCTATCTCGTGCCTCATAGGTCGTCAAGATGGAAGATCTGATGCTTGTGGGAGGGTTGACAGCGTTGGTGAGCTCTGGCTTCCACGGGTTGGTGGAGCTGTGGACCACCATCAGCATCACGAAGCGGACGCTCTGCGGGAACGTCAGCAGCAAATGATTCCGGGCCAACTTGATGCGGCAAGCCGTCTCGTGGTGGCCAATCTGCGGAACATGCATGCAGGCTAAGATCAGCGCGCGGTCTGCAGAACCAAGAGCGTTGCTGGGGGAAAGCTGGCTCCTCATTCGACTCGCAAAGCTGGCGGAAAGGGAGCTGCTGGCATGTCCGAACACCTCCAGACGGAGATGTACGTCTCGGGTGTTTCATGGGGCTGAAAGAAGTCACTGGCGAGCTGAGAGTGTCTTCGACAAGATGACGACCTCCTGGAGGAAGCGTTTTGGTAGCCAATAGAGTGCAGAAGCCGCTTGCCGTTCGGTAGAACAGCTCTCGAAGGCGTGGGAACAGGCGGGCGGGCATCTGCTTCCACTGGAATGCTGTCGTGACAGGCTAAACATTGCGGAGACCAGACAGGCCAAGCGCTGGGTACCCCTTTGTCTCGCGGCGCCGAAGAAGCTCTGCCAATCTTGTTGCCTGCACGGAGTAGTCAAAGTGCTGCAGGCAGATAATTGCATCCCCAGTGTCGCATGTCAAGTTGTTGCTGCAGACAGAAGCTTCGCCAATCTGTCGCGCCTTTCCGTTAACTACCTAGGTAGACGCAAGCAACGGTCTCCCTGCAACGTCGACAGGCCTGTGCTTCCGGCCAATTGCTTGCGTTTCCAGAAGCTCAAGCCCCCCGTTTACTCCTCTCTGTCGAGTCCACTCCACCACCAAGGCACCAAGAGACGGGCGGCTCCATCAACCTAACCCAAGCCGCTGCTCCCCACATCCACCACCACGACAATCGCCTCTCACAAACGCCTTGCTGCCTCTTGCTCTACTGTCTCGTACCGCATATGCTGCCCTTCGCTCGTGGAGCTCCGCCTCAACCTTGAGCCCGAGATCACCTCTTTCTTGCCGACGCTGCGGCCGCCGTTGCTTCTTTCTGACGCTTTCCGTCCGCTCCCCATCACACTCCTGTACTTTAGCCTTGGCTCATATACCAGGTAGACGGTGACCGAGCTAGATTTCACGCTGTACGCTCAAGGCGCATGCAGCGTCGGCCGTTGACCGGTGTCTTAGTACAGCTACGGCAAGCTTCGTTTCATCGCAACTCCCCGGCGCACCAGCGCATCTAGTGTCACCTCCTACTCTTGTGCAGCTGTCTGCGTTCCTGGAGGAGCGAAACAACTGCATTCTCGGCTTTCCGGATATATTGGGGAAAGATCCGGCCTGAGCGCATTGAAACAAGCCCCGGTACCTACCTTTGTTGCGAGACACCGACCCCATCTTAGGATCTTAGACTACACGTTTCCGTGCTATAATCAGAATCTGGGGTGAATCTCGACCGCATCTCATCGTTCTCGCGTGTCCTCCGCGTGTCCTTACCGCGCACCTCCGACCACACCGTCGTCCTAGACCACTACTTGAACTACCGCTACATCAACACCGCTCGACCTCATACAAGCCGGCAGACATCTCCCCTCGTCGTAACAGCCCGCCTGTAGACCCCTGGCCCATCCCGCACGCATCGTGCCATCCCTTAGTGACTCGACCGATAGTACGGCGGGCGGCCGACCTGCCACCAGCAAAGAATTCGGCCACACAAAATGCACACGATGGATCATGGGACCTGTAACGTGATATATCTGGATCGGCGGGCGGACAACGAGATAGTAAGAAGGGACAACATATCAAGGTCTTTGGCGTCGAGACGGGCAAGTGCTGTTAGCGACACCCCAGGTTACTTTCACTTCGCAAAATCGGATGGAGGAGAAATTCATGGCAACCTCGAGACTCTGCTATCGATTTTCCAAGAGAGTACGTCAAGTCCCACAACAGCGCACTCGGCGTTGATGACGTCCGAATTTGGAGATTGCCAAGCTGACGCTGAACGTAGTCCACGTTGTCAACTCGGGCGCTGCATGTCTATCTAAGATATCCCATCTGAACGAATCGTCGATTGACCATAAACCTACGGTAGTCCTAATAGATGTCCCTTACGACGAAGAGCAGCGATGGAAGCGGTTATCACGGGAGCCACGAACCCCTTCACCAAACGCGACGAGGCATGTAGCCGCCGTGATTGAGCCAGAAATGCCTGGTGATATCTACGGCATGCATCTACTACTCCATGTGTCGTCCGAAATACAGCAGCATAGCCTCTCTCGACTAATTGTTCCAGTTGTTGTGGTGAGCGGACAGGACGAAAGGCTGGCCTCATTACCGGTTCTACAGTCCCCCAGCGTCCTTGGTTCGCAAGCCGGCATGACGGACACCATGCGGCTAATCCGCTATCTCGACGCCGGAGCTGTTGATGTCTACTCAAGTCCTCTACATAAGGACCATGTGCACAGTCTCGCTGTGCACGCGTACAGAGTCCATAAAGAAGTGGCCAAAGAAGAGCCACAGTTCTTAGTCAATCGGCGGAGCCGAAAGATGTCATGGGTGGGCGTCAACGAGCAAAAGCCGTATGCGTATCTCAGAGAGGCCATGGTGTCCGGTCTGCTGCAAGGGATATGCAATCCAGAAAACGTAACAGACTCGATAAACCCCAAGTGAGCTGCATGCTCTTGTCCGTCATACTCATGATGCAATTGCTAACAAGGTATTGTAGCGACGTCAATGTTACTCCGGCGAGACAGCAAATAGTCGCCGAAGCCGTCGGCTCCTGGTCCTTTTCAGCACACGACTTCAACGATGACGAGCTTTTGCTTGGCGCGCTGGCAATGCTACAGCACGCGCTTACTATGCCAGAACTTCAGGATTGGCATATGGATTCTGATGAATTGCTCATCTTCCTCCTCGCAAGCCGGACCGCTTACAACGAATTTGTTCTCTATCACAACTTCCGCCATGTCGTCGACGTTCTCCAAGCATTGTTTACATTCCTCGTCCAGATAGGGACGCTACCTCCATACCCACCAGGTAGCACACCACAAAGTGGCTTGCCTCACTCAGCGATCGGAAATCTACTGAAGCCTTTCGATGCTCTTACTTTGCTCATCTCCGCAATCGGCCACGATGTCGGACATCCAGGCGTCAACAACGCCTTCCTGGTCGCGCTCAACTCCCCGCTCGCTCAGCTGTACAATGATCGATCCGTTCTCGAGTCCTTCCACTGTGCCGCGTACTCACAAATACTGCGGCGCTACTGGCCTTCTGTATTTGCGGATATTGGAATGCGGAAATTGATGATCAACAGTATTCTTGCGACAGATATGGGCCTGCATTTCAAGTATATGTCGGATCTTGGCAACCTGCAGGATAAGCTTGCGCACAACAACTTCACGACCGACGGGTGGAGTGTGAAAGTCTGCGAAGAGTACAAAGATTTGGCTTGTGGATTGTTGATCAAGTGCGCCGACATCAGCAATGTGGTATGTGTCTTTGTGCCCAGCTCCTATCGCATTTCAAAGGCGCATGCTATCAGTGTGACATTTAGCTGATTGATCATTGCAGGCGCGCAGATTCCACGTTGCCGCTCAGTGGGCTATCATCCTCACGGATGAATTCTCCCACCAAGGAATGATGGAGACCGAGCTCGGCATTCCGACGTGCTTGTTCGGTGGACCGCCGGAGCGCGACAACCCGATCAAAATGGCCCAGTCTCAGATCGGCTTCATGAACATCTTCGCTCGCCCGCTATTCGAAGCAGTCACAGGTATCTTGCCCGCGATGCGCTTCTCAGTTGACCAGATTCTTGACAACAAGAAAGTCTGGGAAGGTCGGATCGAGGAGCAGAAAGAGAAGATGGCTGAGAAGAGGGGGAGGAAAGACCTG